TAGAAACAGGGTCTCACTTGAGTTGCCAAGTACCTCGTGATTGCTGAGGCTGGCTTTGAACCCGCAATCCTCCTGTCTCAGCCTCCTGAACTGCTGGGATTAGAGCATCCTGTCTGAAAATTAAAAAATAAAAAGGCCTGGGGTTGTAGCTCARTGGTACAGCCCTCTAGCTTCAATCTCCAGTTCTAGGGGAGGAGAGGGAATTAAAACACTGAAGCAAGAGAAAGTAGGTATACCAAGGAGGGGAGTCCTTGAGAGGATGGAAGGGTAGGACCCAGAGCTGAATATTTTCTTTCCTCTTTCATTTTTAAACAACTCTAGAGGTGGTTTTTTTTTTTTTTTTTTTGGTGGGGAAAGTTGGTACCAAGGATTGGATGCAAGGGTGCTCAACACCTTGCCACAAGCCACAGCCCTTTTTTTCCCCTAATAATAATAATAATTTATTATTATTATTGAGATTAGGTTTCTGATAGCCTTGCTAAGTTGCTGAGACTGGCTTTGAACCTGCGATCCTCCTGCCTCAGCCTCCCAAGCCACGGAGATTACAAGCATGCACCACCGTGCCCAGCACTTATAAAGGTAAACTGGGAATTATAGGAATTATAATTATATTATTAATGGGAATTATAGCTCAATTTTAAAATTTTTTGAAAATATTTTCAAAATCCTCTGCCAACTCCCACCCTAAGTGGAGGCCACATTTTCACACAAGGCAAAGTCTTGCTAAGAAGTCTCACTTCCCAGACTGGACATGTGAACACTGAGGAAAAAGCCTCCGTGTGGCAGAGGGCTGGGATGGTGACAGGGTCAGGGCCCAGGAACAGAGCAGACAAACATGTCCCCTTCTGTTCTATTGACCTGGTCAACCCACCAAACACTCCCTGCAAAACAACTCCCTCAACTCCAATCTCCAGTGCTCCTGAAGCCTCCTCCACTGTGAAAAAGGAAACTGAGTCCCCAGAGAGACCAGGAGAGGCCCCCCGTTAGAATGGATCACAGACTCCCCAAGCTCAGCTGTGGGTGGGACATGAGGTGGAACAGGATTAGACTAGAGAGGAGGAAGTCCTCCTGACGGAAGCAGAACCAGCATCAGGATGAAGTGAGATCCAGGGGCCACTATGGGCAGACACACGCCCACCTCCTAGAGCCCAGGAGCTTGGCCTGATGTGCCACTCCATTACTGCCCACTTCTAATGGCTTCCGTGGCCTGGACCCCACACCAGGACCAATGTCAGGAACCCTCTATGGACTAAACCAAAGGAAGTGGGTTCAGTCACCCCTCACACACCCCTCACTCTGAAGGCAAAGGGCAAGGCCTGATGTGAGCAGACGTTCCTTTTATTATTTAATATATGTGTTTTTAGAGCCGGGGTTGTGGCTCAGAGGTAGAGCACTTGCCTAGCATACATGAGGCACTGGGTTCAATCCTCAGCACCATATAAAAATAAAATAAAGGTATTATGTCCACCTACAACTAAAAGATACACTTTTTAAATTTATTTATTTATTTATTTATTTAGATGGACACAATACCTTTTATTTATTTATTTTTATGTGGTGCTGAGGATAGAACCCAGAGCCTCATACCTGTGAGGCAAGCTCTCTACCACTGAGCTACAGCCCCAGCCCCTCCTTTTTTTAAAAAAAATATATATTTTTAGTTGTTAATGGACCTTTTTTTAAAATTTTTTTTGGGGGTACCAGGGATTGAACTCAGGGGCACTCAGCCACTGAGCTACATCCCCAGCCCTATTTTGTATTTTATTTAGAGACAGGGTCCACTGAGTTGCTTAGTGCCTCACCTTTGCCGAGGCTGGCTTTGAACCTGCAATCCCCGTGTCTCAGCCTCCCAAGCCACTGGGATTACAGGCGTGCACCACCACGCCTAGCCTGTTGATGGACCTTTTTATTTTATTCATTTATTTATATGCGGTGCTGACAATCAAACCCAGTGTCTCACACATGCTAGGCAAGTGCTTTACCACTGAGCCACAACCCCAGCCCTGTCAGACATTCCTTGTTCACAAGTCAGGCCAAAGGGGTCATTTTTGTGTCCAGCATCACCTCTGGGCTCTTTCCCCCCTGCACTGTCCTCTCTTTCATGTTAGTAAATATCGTGGCTTCCAGGTAGCAAGTAGGGACCTTATACCCACAACTTTACAGCACAGATCCCTTCCCAGTCCATGAATCCGTGGAGTCAGTGACCTACAGACAAGTCCCAGGACTGGAGCCAGTGACCCAAGGACAAGTCCCAGAACTGTTTCTGCCCAAGGAAGAGGTGTGCCTACAACTTTGGCCCTTCCTCCCTGGGCCTCACCCTTCTAACTGCTTAGTGTCCTAGAGAAGACACTTTCTCCCAAACAGGACTCTTCTGACATAACTTCCACCTGCAGCTCCATGACCCCCAGGAGGTCCCCAAAGCCAAGTCAAAAATTGAGGTGTCCCAGAATCCAGCCTGTGTTGGTTAAACAAAGAGGAACCTCAAGCCCTCCAACTCTAGAAGAGTTCTCAAACCTCAGTGAAACTATAACTATAACTTTGGTTAAATATCAATCCCAGAATGTCACATACACCCATCACAAAGATTCTTATTCAGTAGGGGCCCCACCAGGCCCCATAATCTGTACTGATCCAAGGTCTCACTATGTCGCTCAGGGTGGTCTCCAACTCTCGGCCTCCAGTGATCCTCCTGATTCAGCCTCTCAAGCAGCTGGAACTCTAGGCACATGTGCTTGATTCAGTATAATCTCTATTTTTAAACTGCTAACAGGGAACTGTGCTCTGGAGCACTGAAACAGCTGAGGACAGAGGGCCTATCTCAAGCTCCAGCTCTCAGGAGGGCTTGGGCAAGTATGAGGACCCAGGTAGACCTCTTAACCCAAGGTGGAGGCCAGGGTTATGGACAGGGCAGGGTTTTGGACACCTCTTTCAGATCTCTGATCTCTGTGGGCAGGCCAGGAGTGAGCCTTCTTAGAGACCCCACTCAGCATTCCTCAATCTCTCCATCTCCTCTCATCCTCCAGCCCTTAGCAAAGCAGAAGTCAGGGGCCTGATTCACACATGCCTTTCCCCTTAAGACACCCACACCCATTCTTTTCAAGACCCCACCCAGCACAAAAGAGGACAAGAACTAACAGATTTAAACTGTTAGGGAACTTCCTGCTGCATCCAAGTGGCACAAAAGATTGTGGTAGCAACTCCCTGCTGAGCTACGTGGTCTCTACCTAGGGCAAACTTAAGGAGCTTCTCTCAGATGGGAGTGTGTGACTGCCCTGATGTATGCCATCAACTACCCATAAGAACAAAGGGGCTCCTAAGAGAGAAGAGAATACTGTGCCACCCAAGTGCTGGGCTCTGTCACACCTGATAGAATGCAAAAAGCCTCCTGTTCAGATGTCAAGGACAGCAGCCCATGGAACAGCCCAGATGTGCACATCAGGCTCACAGCCTGGCCAAGCAGGAGGTTCCTGTTCCCTTTGGGACCCAGACACAACCCACAGGGACCAGGCTCAACATTTATGTCTACTAAAAAGGTTTCTGGGAGCATTCTCCTGCTCAATTCCCACAGACACATCTCCTCTACAACTACCAGTTTACTACAGGCAGAATCCCCCTCCAGAAATAGAATAAATTTCTTGTTTCTCAAACACTGATGCCACATACAGCCCTGCAAGACAGCCTGATGGAACACAATGTCAGTTCTGAGTTCAAGTCCTGGCTCTGACACTCATTCCCTCTGCACCATCCTGAGCAAGACCCTAATTTTTCCTGAACCACCATCCCCTTCATCTTCAAAGATGCGGGTGGCAGTATCTATCCTCTAGAATTACTTAAAGGATAGACATTTAATATAAACTGCCTGGCACATAGCTGGCACTCAATAAATGAGTTCCTTCCCTTCCCTTCCTACTCTTATAACTTAGTTTCCCTGGCCACGCTCCAAATCTAAAAAGATCCTAAGTTCACCTCGTGCCAAAGGGGCCCAGGTACAGAAGACGAAATACTTTTAACAAACCTTCGACGTTGAATTCATCAGCTACAACTGGGAATCCACTCCCCAAAATCCTACATTTTCTCTTGAAACAGGAAGAGTTGATTTAAGCATATTCAGAGAAAGTGTGGACAACTATGTATTCCTCAAGTTTTCTGAAACCCTGGAAGCGCTTCTCAGAAGCGCAGGGTATAAAGGAGGTTACCCAACCGCAATGGAGGCTCTAAGGCTGCTCGCTTGGTGAACCAGCAAGCACGGTAACTCTTTTTTTTAAAGCATATGGAAGTAATTTAAGTCACCCTTTAACATGCAGGGACAAGTGTCCACGGTGTTCCCCAAAGTTACCAGGCACCTTCTGCTTGGATCTGCCCCTGGCCACTTTAGTTGGCAGCAGACACATTCTGAAACTCAGCCGTGAGTAGCATCCATTACGACAGGGCGAAGTGCTAGCGTTCAGTGGCCTCACCCTTGGAGGAAACCTCCCTGACACCCCCCCCCCCCAGCACTCAGGGGATGTCTGGCCGCTGCTCTGGACGCGATGCCCTGCTCCGTGCATCTGCTCTCGCTAACACAGCAGCAGCGAGTGAGTAGGGTCGGGAGGAAACAGCTTTAACCGCAAGGGTGGAGTTGCAATCACCAAACCTCCTGCGCCCGGGTTTCCACGCACCCGCGGGGGCGTCTCGCCGGGTGCCGCACTTCCGGAACCCCTACAGCTGTCCCTACACAAGTTTCCTTTGAGGGGCGCGCGCACACGGGACGCCTGGGCGGCGCAGACACTGCCAAGGTCTTTCACTGCTGCACCGAGAGGGTCTCGGAGAGCAGCCCGGGCGCACGTGTCTCTGAGGATGACGGGTCTCCTCCAAGCTAGGAAAAAGCGTTTCGAGCGTCCCGAGTCAGGCCAATCAGGCCAATCTGGGGTACCTGAAGGCTGGCCCTAGGTCCTGGAGACTGCAACCCCCTGAGAGGATTTGACGGGGCCCCGGGATCGAAAGACGCCCAAGCGCCTCACCTGAGAGGGACGCAGATGGCCAGATACCTGTCGATGGCCACGGCCAGGAGGCTGAAGATAGAGCTTTGAGTGAGCACAAGCACAAAGCAGGCGAGAAAGAGGCAGCTGTGGAAGTCAGTGCAGAAGCCCAGGCTGATGGTGATGGCAAAGGGGATGGCGAACAGTCCCACGGCCACGTCGGCTGCCGCCAGGGACACCAGAAAATAGTTGGTGGGAGTCTGCAGCGAGCTAGACGTGCCCACCGCCGCGCACACCAGCACGTTGCCCGCCACCGACAGCGCGGCGATGGCGAGTTCCAGCGCCACATATAGCGCGTCCAGAGTCTCCAGCGGCATGGCCGGGCCAGCCGGGCCCCGGGAGTCGCCTACCAGGGCCCTGCCGCGCGGGGGACAGCCGCGTGAGCCCCGCCGGGCACGGCCGGAGCGCCTGACCGCGCCTCCTCTGGCCGCGTCTGAGCCTCCCAGCTCGCGCTCTCAGGTCCGGGGCACAGGGGACGGGACTTCGGGCAGGCGGAGGCTACTATTGGCCAGACTGCCCGCCCGTCTCGGATTCCCSGACATAGCGCCGCCCCCTCGCCCCATCCCTACTTCGCGCCCAGTGCGGAGCCGCTCCCCGACGGCAACCAGCGGCGCGCTTGGAGTGACGGGTATCTAACAAAAAAGAGTTCTCCAACTTTCCTTCAGGTCGGCATCAGTGTCCCGAGCAGCCTTACCGCCTTCCAGCCTGGGTTGGTGCAGCGCGGGAGTCCAGGCGATTCCTGGGGTTGGCACCGCGCTCTTCCCCAGGACTCCCGCCTGGAGAGATTGCTGCAGAAAGGACACCCCCAGAGCCATTCCACCGCCTGGCAGTGAGGTCCTGAAGCCTTTGGGCACTCCCCCACCGAACCTGCACAAGGCCCTGGGTAGGCAGAGCTCTCCCTACAAACTGGAAGAGATGCCTCGCTTGTGGGACCTATTGGGGCCACTCGTTCACACCTGCACTGCACCGTCAGGCCACAGCATCCGGCTGCAAGGAGCCCTCTGGGGTTACTGGTGCCCCTCCACCACTCCGCAGCGCCAGTCTCAGCCGCTCGCGCACTTTCCCGCCCTCCCCGCCGCTTCCCTGCGCTCCTCTGAACACTGCTGGGACAGCTCCCCTCTCTGCCTTCCACTTTATGACACGCTCCGTGTCCTCTGCTTCCTTGTCACCTCCCTAAAATGCTAGTGTTCCCTGAGCCCTCTTTTTAGCCTTCACACCCTGGATCAACCTGGATCAGCTCCCACCTTCCACTTGACCCTTACACCTTTAACTCCCAAACCTCTCACCTGGAACCCTATGAGCCCTTGAGTGCCAGATATGCCCACTGAAGGACTCGCCAGGACAGCCTGGTGCTCCCAGATCTAACAGTCCAAATCCACCAGGCTCCTTTTCAACCCTCCCCCGAACCTGTGCTGCCGCTTCATTCTGGATTTCAGTAATTAGCTCTGCCACTCTCACCCACCCCAAGAAGTGTGCTGACGCCCTAGCTGTCACTCTCCTCCACCTCCAGATGACTAGCAGTATCGCTGACCCTTGCTCCTCTCCACTCCCATAGTAGCGGCGATCTCCCCACCTATTCCCCCATCCCGCCCTCTCTCTGCCCAGATCTTCTCTGCTCCATCTGCTTCTGCAGTCCTCACAAACACCATTCTTCTAGAACACATCTGGCTGTGCCATTCTCCCACCAAAAAAGCCACTGCCATCAGTCACCAAGCAGAATGGTTAAGATTGGCAACAGGAATAAATGATTGGAAAATAATGTTAAGCAGAAAAACAAAGCATAGGGGTGACAAAGGGTACAGAATAGCTGTACAGTTCTAAAATGTACTCTTTATATGGATGCATTACATGGTAAACAAATTATATATCAGTGTAGCTGCATTAATAATGACCAGTCTTCCCCACAGACACATACACCACCAGGCATTAATAGTAATATGTACTCAGGTAATGACAAACACAACAACATCTCTGAGCACTCACAGTAACTGTTCTAGATTATTTTAGAGATTTTCCCCCCTATTTTCCTTCTATAATAAAAAAACACAATTTTTAAACAATTCTTATGCACTTTTATATTTTAAACATGCGATTTTTTTTCCATATTAAGGATTGAACTCAAGGGCACACTCGACTAGTGACCTACATCCCCAGCCCTATTTTGTATTTTATTTAGAGAAAGAGTGCCACTGAGTTGCTTAGCACCTTGCTTTTGCTGCAGCTGGATTGAGGACTCCTCAATCCTCCTGGGCAATCCTCCTGTCTCAGCCTCCTGAGCGGCTGTGATTACAGGCATGCACCACCGCAACAGGCTAAATATGCCATTTTTAAATACACATTGCATGCCCTGGCCACCTGAGTTAGGACAGCACCTGCTGCACCTGCCAAGTTCCCTTAGCACTTGACACCAACTCTGCCACACAAATGATAAACTGAACGTCAGAGAGATTGGGTAACTTGTCTAAGGGCACTTCCTTGGAGGGTGGGGAAGAGAAATGTTTCCTAGGGCAATGGCTTTTGCAGAGTGGGTAAGATTTAGTAGTGGACTAGTACTAAATGGTGGCAGTGGGCAGGTATGGGGTGGAGAGCCATGTGGGGCAGAGGTAGGGGAAGGGGCTTTCTCAGGGACAGCCATGGCCAGAAGAGTAGAAAAAAGGAAGCCTGGCCAGGGAAGGCTTTTGCCAGTAGGATGGATGTCTGCTGCTGGAGGTGCTGGGATGCCGGCTCCAGGAGGTCTCTGGGCAAGGCATGATGACCCGAACATGATCCGGCAGGAGCAAACAGAGGTTTGGCAGAGGGAGAGGAGGCGCTGGACAGAGGCCAGCTGGTTGCTGTGGGTGGTTTCTACACACCCTGTAGCCTTCAGGCCTTGGGCTCAGCTCCAGCATTTTTCTATGCCTAAGATTCCCACTTCCCCTTTCTAGAGCCCAACCTTCTTCAGGAAATCTTCCCAGAATCTGTGGAGTAGGAAGAGTCTCTTAGTGCAGGGCTGTGCCCTGAATCTTTCTGTATTGCGGTCCACTGAGTTCCATGCCATCAGTGTCACCCACCAGCACAGCTTCTCTCCTCTCTGTCTCCTCCCCACCCAGCCCCGATCTAGTACACCCTTTGATTCAGGCAACTGCCTTCCCTTCTCCACAAGGTTTATGGGAAATGAGTTTTCCTGACTCCATCAACCCTGAGTCTAGAACTCATAGTAGGATTTGAACTAGGCTCACGGAGTCCATGGGAGTGGTGGTGATGGTAATAGACAATTATTGTTCAGGAAACACGAGGAGTCATGGGGGTTAGATTTGAAAGCGACTTGGGTGCCACGGAGCCCAGATCTCTGCAGCAAAGAACTTAGGTTTGGTTCCCAGCTTTGCTGTTGGCCTTGGACAAGAAAAGTTCATCTTTCTGAGCCACCATTTCTTATGCATAAGGTAAGGGTAACGATACCTACTTCACAAGTGACAAGCCTAAAGGGGCAGGAGGAGCCATCTACCATCTGACCCACCTGTAAATTTCAGACTCCTTGAAAACTATCGCAGTGATGGAACATTTAGAGAACTTGATACTAGAGCCCTAGACCAAATTGGGTCTTATTATTATTATTATTATTATTTTAGACATTATTAATTGTAGACAGACATAATACTTTTATTTTATTTATTTGTTTTTATGTGGTACTAAGTATTGAACCCAGTGCCTCAGGTGAGCACTCTACCAACTGAGCTACAACCCCAGCCCCAAATTGGGTCTTTGGTAAAAGTGAAAGAAGGGTATGTTTTGTAAACTTCTTTGGACCTCTTGCAGAGTGCTAGCACCTGTCTTCCTAATTCCCATCCCTGTCTCATCTTGCCTCAGCTGTCAGAGCAGAATTCAGGTGACATCCAGATGATCCAGAGTAGGTCCAACACGCTGAAATGTCATAAAAGACTCAGGCTCAGTCTTTCTGCTCTGCCATCTTTAATAGCTTTCACAAAAAGACTGCCACAGCTGCAAGGATCATTTTCTAATCCAATCTCATTCAAAGCAGAAGGAGCAAAGTCATAGATCATGTACTACCCTAAAACAATCATGAGTCCAGGGATAGGAACTGATTGTGCCTGATTTAGACCAAACAGGAAAGGGCCTATTTGCCCAAACATGTCACCATCTGAATAAACTTGAGGCTCTATAAATAAAGAGGATTGGAGGGCCATGCACATCATCCTTCAGTGGCTGTGTGAAATGTCTCAAGTATTTCTGGAAATCAACACAGGCTTCCAGAACAAGTTACTATACCTCAACTTTCTACTTCTCTCGGACAGTTGAGCCTTTATTACTGGTTCATTCCAAAAACAGTGGAATGAACAYTGTTTTTCCGCAGGCAAAGCCCATTCTTGGAGACTTCTTCACCTCTGGTCAGTGAACTTATGCAGGATCAGTCCTGCCAAAACTCCAAATGCAGCTCTGCRCCTTAAAGATGGACAAAGTAGGAGAATACAAGTCAAGGTAGACTCCCAACCTTGGTCGATTCTTTAAATTAATTAATTAATTATTTTTAATCAGCTCTATATGACAGCAGAATGCATTTCGATTGCAGCACAACTTTTCATTTTTCTGGTTGTCCACGACTGGTCGATTTTGAGTTCTCCAACGAAAATACTTTGTCTTCTATTTCTTTTGTACTGACTTTCTTAGGGCCCATGAACAATGTTCACAAATTAGTGAACTCATAATTATACCTCTATTTCCTCAAATGTGGGCTGGGAATAAAGGCTAAAATTAAGGCCAAATTATATAATAAATATAGAAGCACATTAAGAAGTATTCATTCTACACTAATAATACTATATTGTACTAATAATAGTATAAAATTCCATGCCAACAACTTAAATAATATACCTGAAATGGACAAATTACCATAAAGATACAAATTGCCAAAACGAACTCAAGAAAAAATAGAAAGTATGAAAAAAAATTTTTATACTAATAGATTGTGTTAGTATTTTTTAAAAATAACTTTCCAGGAAAATAAAATGTACATGCCCCGAAGGTCACAGGTGAATTCTACCAAAGGTTTAAAGAAGAATTAATAGAAACTTTTCACAAACTCTTCCAAAAAAGGAGAAAGGGAAGGAATACTTATCACCTAATCTATGAGGTAAATATTATTCTGATGCCCAAACCAGACAAAGACATAACAAGAAAACTACAGACCAAGATTCTTTATGAATATGGATATTTGTCAATATACATGCAAACATTTTCAACTGAATTCAGCAACATAGAGCAAGCACTACACACCATGACCAAATGGGATTTATCTCAGGAATGCAAAGTGTGTTCAACATACAAAAAGAAATCCATGTAATACACTTTTTTTAATAGAATAAAAGAAATCAGAAGATGACCCGACATATACAGAAAA